GGGGGAGGAGGAGGGAACACAACTCTTTACTGTCTGCAGACCGGAGGGGGGGGGGGGGGAGTAGCACTGAAGTAGTCAGAGTACCGTTGCAGGCGCAGGGCTGCAGCTTGAGGACGGCCTGACAGAAGGGAACACACTCTCCCTTCAGACACTCTCCGCTGTCCAGACACACGGTTTCATCTGCAGCGTCCCCTGGAGGAGGACACTCGCTGCTGTTTCCTGTCAAACACAAAACCTCCGGTCACTCTGGGGCCTCCACACACCACGAGGTCACGTGGGACCCGTGACCTGTGGGCTCACCTGTGCAGTACGAGTGTCCTTTACAGGTGGCGTCGATGGGCTCCTGACACACTTCTCCTTCGGACTCGAACCTGCAGTTCTTACAGCACGCACTGTTCCTGTCACTGAACACCGAGAGAAACATCTGGATCTTTAGATGTAAACTAGAACCAAACCTGCTGCTGCAACCTGGATATCATCTCAACCTGTGGTTCTCAACCTGGGGGTCTGGACCCAACAAGGGGTCGCAAGCAGGAGACAACCTCAGTGCTCCACGTGTTAAAGCTGCACCATCTTGTTTTTTGCAACCAGTGAACAGGAAGTGACCATATTAGGACTGAGGAGGTCTCTAAAGGTACCGATGAAGGTCTTTCTCTGTGGGTTGATCTGTTGTTACATGAACCAGTTCTATGTTGTTAGAGGCTCATGAACATGCTGACTCCTGCTCCGTCTCCTCTCACCTGCACTGAGCTCCGGCGGTCAGCCGGCACTCGGCGGTGCAGCAGCGGTCCGAGTTGATGTGCAGCAGCCCCGGGTCGCACTGCTCTCCCTGCTCCACCCGAGAGTTACCGCACACGTTGGTGTTCCTCCGCCGGAAGCAGGACGCGGCCTTGGACCTCAGCCGCTTCACGATGGAGCGTTTACTGCAGTCAGAGAACATCTGGACACCATCATGGAGACACAACTGTAAGCTTGTCTTTACATTTTACTTTCACTTTGTTTGTCTCTGAGTTCTGTATATTCAGCCGCCGTGTTATATAAATAACTCTTGTATATGTAACATGTAACATGTAACATGTTACATGTTACATGTTACATGTATAGTCTGAAACAAAATGATTGAAAGAAAGAAAAAAAAACGATAC